CATACAAAAGTCAGTAGGAGAACACTTCAATCTCCCTGGACACTCAATAACAGATTTAAAAGAAGCCATTCTTCAACAAAAAAACTTCAAAAACAGACTTCAAAGAGAAACTGCAAAACTACAATTGATTTGTAAACTTAACACCATCAGTTTGGGCTTGAATAGGGCCTGGGAGTGGCTGGCTCACTAAAAAAGCAATTTTCCCTCTCTTGGTATTGACACCTCCTCATCAATTATTGGGAGTGGATCACATCCACCCTGACTGAATTGGCCTTCTACATTGGTTCTCCACTTGGAAGGTAACTCCCTTCTCTTCATGTGCCAATATATATTAAAGTCTATATCTGTAATTTTCACTCCATGCATCTGAAGAAGTGGGTTTTTTACCCATGAAAGCTTATGCCCAAATAAATCTGTTAGTCTTTAAGGTGCCACCTGAGTCCTTGTTGTTTTTGTGAATACAGACTAACACGGCTACTACCCCTCTAATAATTTGTATATAGTCAGGATGCTGAGAGCCATTGAATCAAACTGAAAAGCCTGAATATAATGGAAACCACTTCAAGCCAGGGGGTGCAGCAGCACCCCTAGTTCCAGCTCCTATGACCACTCCGGTAACTTACTAGCGCTCTCCATTCATTGATTTGCTGTTCAGTCAGCAGGGGGCAAAATATCATCTTCTAGATAAATGGCCTTCTATCACAGGCCTGGAAAACTTGCTTTCTCTTCCAATCCGGGATCTTCAGCAGACTGTGATGGTCTTGTATCTAGCTCAGAGAAAATGAGTATCTACTCGTGCTTTCAGCTGATTAAGATTAAGAAGGCAACTATGTATGTGGAGGTTGTTTTGTTTTGGTTTGTTTTTTTTGTACACTTTTTTTGAATGTCTGTGACTCAGAATACAAAGTGAGGTTTTTGTACAGCCTGTCTATGGTATTCTAACATTGTGCGATCCCAGTAGGCACAGTAATAGGTAGCCGTGTCATTGTAGGTTAGTTTGTCTACTGTTAGGGTACAGGTGGATTTTTCAGTTGTCTTGTGAATGCTAAACTTCTCCTTGTCAAAATTTGATTTTTCAGTTTGTGTCTTAAAGTAGAGTATCCACTCCGGAGCTTCTCCAGGTCTCTGTCGATACCAGTGTATATAAGCATCACCAAAATTGATGCCAGAAACTTTACAGTCAATTCTTACTGTTTTCATCAGATTCCTTGTGATGGATAACTGATCTTGTGTCAGTTGTACTTGTGCAGCTCCATCTACAAAGAAAGAAAGGGGAAAAAAACATCATAAGCATGAATTTGGAGGCTCTCTGGTTGTTGCTCAGTAATCTGCATATTTGTAGAAAATTAGAGTGAAAACCAACTTACATGACCAAATTGAAGCCACAATAAGAACCTGCACCAGTAACATTCTCACTGACTTCAGTTGAGCTGCATGTCAGAAACAGAAGGCTGTAAGTTAGGATCTCGGATGGAGGGCCAAGTGCCTTTGGGGAGAGGAAGTGACTCACTTAAGTAGCAGCCGAGAAGCGTTCTGTTGGTTGTAGGTATGTCAGTTCCGTGTGAGCCATCATGAGTTTCAGCAGTAAGTCTATTATGAAGCAGATGTTCCAGTGAACTTAGGACCCAACACACCACTGTTTCTTAAGAGAATGGACAATGAAGGGTTCATGTTGATTGGTGCAGTAGACCCCCCCAACTTTCTTATTTAAGCCTTTATTCAGGAAAGCATCTGCATTAAGCTCATGCTTAATCTTAAATGCTTTGCTGACATCCCATTGAAGACAAATCACTGCCTGTTTCTATGTTAATGATTAATCTTTCTCTAGAATAAAAGCCTTCAGCAGTATTCCCTGTGTGGTATAGGGGATTGTGCCTGTAAGGGCTGAGATTCCCAGACAGAGTCTGTTTGGGGCATTGAATAGCCAGTTGGAATCTGACACAGAAAAAAGCAGATCTTCTGCAAGCTCTTTAACACTGAGTGATCACTGAACACTAAACTTACCTCCACCCCTTACCAGTGGTATTACAGGAGCTGTGGTCAGGGTACTTGGTTTTTCTGCCTTTGAATCAGGTACTTTATATGTGTGGTAACCTTAACTACTTCACAATAAAGATTTTTATTAATCATGTTGCGTTTTTGTTTGTTTGTTTTTTTAAATAAGCTAGTGAGGAGTTTCTACAGCCAAATGGCAAAATCAGGGAGGTAGCTGTAATTCCATACATTTGATGGGATATGGCTCAGGGTATGTCTAAATTATGAAATTAGGTCGATTTTATAGGAGTTGATTTTTAGAAATCGATTTTATACAATCGATTGCGTATGTCCCCACTAAGCGCATTAAGTCGGCGGAGTGTATCCTCAATACCCTGGCTAGCATCGACTAACAGAGCGGTGCACTGTGGGTAGCTATCCAGCAGTCTCCGCTGCCCATTGGAATTCTGGGTTAAGCTCCCAATGCCTGATGGGGCAAAAACATTGTCATGGGTGGTTTTGGGTACATGTCGTCAGTCACCCCTCCCTTTGTGAAAGCTATGGCAGACAATCGTTTCGCGCCTTTTTTCCTGGGTTACCCGTGCAGACGCCATACCACGGCAAGCATGGAGCCCGCTCAGTTCACTGTCACCGCTGCTGTTGTGGGCAAGGCGCGCTGTGCATCAGAGAAGCTTTGAAAACCAGTTTCATGACTGGCCAGGCTTCGGTGTGACAGTGTGTATTTCTCCTTGATGCAAACCCGCCCCCTTTGTTGATTTTGATTCCCTGTAAGCCATCCACCCTCTCCCCTTCGAAATAAAGTAACTATTGTTTTGAAACTATGCATTCTTTCTTTATTAATTTAAAAAAAAATGAGATAACAGACAAGGTAGCCCGGTTGGGGTCGGGGAGGAGGGAAGGACAAGGCCACATTACTTATTGTAGTCACACTAAAAATCAAACTGTTTGAATGACAGCCTTCTGTTGCTTGGGCCATCCTGTGGATTGGAGTGGCTGGGTGCCCGGAGCCTCCCCCCCACGTTCTTGGGCGTCTGGGTGAGGAGGCTATGGAACATGGGGAGGAGGGTAGGCGGTTATACAGTGGATGCAGCGGGGGGTTGTGTTCTTGTTGGCTTTCCTGCAGCTCCAACAGATGCTTCATCATGTCTGTGTCGGAGAAAAACTGAGTTCTCACTTTTTCTTTGGGTACAGCAAGT